TTAGTATACTTATCTTAAACAATTGAATGTTGTCTGGATCGGGATTTGGGAATGAAGCACAATTATTATGAAGTACTTACTTATGAATATAAAAAGTAAAATGTGGATACTATTTAGCTCAAAGGAGTGAAGCACAGATCTTTACAGTTATTTAATCTGTCATGAACCAGACCTAGAGTATTTAATTAGTCACAAAGACAGATTCATATATAAGGGTGTTAGTATACTTACACATCAATAATCTGTTTAATTTCCTTTTTGGGTTTATTCCATAAAGAGCATAAAAAAATAGTCTCATTACGTTTAGGACAAAGGATAAACAGTTGCCAGTGAGACCTACAAAAAATGTCGCTCAATTAGTAATTCTTAAGAGATTCAAAGTTTGAAAGTAAGTAATTTAAAAAAAACTTACCCATAATGATATGGTGCGAGATAAAATTCCTTTGATCCTTCACAAAATCTCTTTTGAATGTATGCTTGAATAGTATTTGGTTTGTTCCCCAAACTCTGAATGTGGACAGGATCAATGAATCCATGACATCTTCTACTCCCTTTTCCGCAACAGCTTTGTTGAGGTAACTAGAAATTGAAAATATCATGTTAATTGCATTTTAGACAAGTTGGTGTCTAATAGGGCATACAACCAATTGACTTAAATAAAAACATAAGACTTACATTAACCAGACTTGCAAAATCCATCACAAAGGAGATGCTCTCTTATATCCTTCACACTTAGTTGTCTTAAATTTAAGCACTTCACACAAGGACAATAAAAGAGACCTCTATTGTTACCCACATTTCTCTGTGCAAACTCTAAGAACTCTTCAACCCCTAATTCATATTCTTCTTCTATACGTTTGGCATTTATCCAACTCCGATCCATATCTATAACTACATGACGTCTTTGCTTAGTGTGAAAATGGAATTACCTCTATTCAGAGGCAACAAACTTAAACAACTCAAACTATAATCCAAACTGAAATAGTACTGGAACAACAGTAAAACTCCAGGAACAAAACAAACAACACAAAGAACAAACCTAAATCAACAACATAAGAAACAAACCCAAATGAAAAACAAGAGAACCAAATATAATCAATACCCCAAAGCCCTACACCCCAGCGTGGAAACTCATAGCCTTAACTCTTCCGCTAAGAGACTCGGACCAGAGCGACATCAACCAACCCAACAGGGCTTGGATAACACCAATCTCAACCCCACGAGAATAACCAAGTCAAAATCACATATTCAAGTCAAACTAAACGGAAATAATAATACAAAACCCAGAATAAACATGTCTACATACATTAAACCCAGGCAGAATCAGTCCACGACCAAACAAAACAATCCAGAATCAAGGAAAATGCATAAAGGTAATTGACAAAACAAGGATGAGAAGCCAATAGGATAGACCCACGGACCTGGTCCGAATCACCTCCGGTTCGCGACGAGATCGAAGGTGCGCAGGTGCAATGAGGAGGAGCTCCTAGAGGGTTTCGGAGAGGTGAAGACGAGGGTGGCGCGTCGCAGCTTCTTGGTGCGCGTCGCAGTTCTTGGTGCACGGCAAGGGTGGTTTTCGCTTGGGGATTCGATTGGGGAAACGAAGGTTAGGGATTCGATTGGGGGAAGGAGATGGGAGAGACAGTGGTTTTCGCTACTGCGATAGGGGCAAGGAGACGGTGGTTTTCGCTACTGCGAGAATGAATTTGGTAATGGCTAGGAGCAAGGGAAGAATTCCAGAGGGAGTCGAGTCTGTAATTGGGTCTGGGAGTCGAGTCTGTAAGGGCAAGAGTGGAGTCTAGGGCTTACTCGTCTAAAATTTTTATTATAATTTTTTTAAGACTTTCCACATCGGCTCATGGGGGAACCGATGTAGAAAGTAAAATGGTATATCGATGACCGATCGTAATGACTTTATGACCGATCGAGACCGGATGATCGATCAGAATGAGATTATGACCGATCGAATTGTTTTAAATCGAGTAGATAGCACTTTCCACATCGGTTCATGGGGGAACCGATGTAGAAAGTGCAGGTCAACACTCGCTCAAGCGACAATAAGATCGCTCGAGCGACGCCACCTCCACAAAATTGGCCTTCTCGGGTGGTTTTTCGCTGAGCGACACCGGTCTCGCTCGAGCGACGCCACCTCCACAAAATTGGCCTTCTCGGGTGGTTTTTCGCTTGAGCGACATTGTCTCGCTCGAGCGACGCCACCTGCACAAAATTATTGGCCTTCTCGGGTGGTTTTTCGCTTGAGCGACACCGTCTCGCTCGAGCGACGCCACCTGCACAAAATTATTGGCCTTCTCGGGTGGTTTTTCGCTTGAGCGACACTTTCTCGCTCGAGCGACGCCACCTGCACAAAATTATTGGCCTTCTCGGGTGGTTTTTCGCTGAGCGACACTTTCTCGCTCGAGCGACATCCACATTTTTTGGTTATGATCGATCGGGATGAGTTTATGACCGATCGAATTATTTTAAATCGAGTAGAAAGCACTTTCCACATCGGTTCCCATCCGAACCGATGTGGAAAGACTTTAAAAATTTCTACATCGGTTCTTTAACAACCGATGTAAAAAGTCCGATGTTAAAAGTGTTTTTTGTACTAGTGAATATCTTATTTACAATAAAATTTATCTTTAAAAATATATTTTAATGATAAACTAATTTCATAAAACTTTATAATAGGATTTAATTACATATATTTGAATAGATTTAGGGACTGAAATAAATATTATATTTTTTTAAGAATTAAATTGACAACAAGTAACAAGTATATTATATTTAGAGGAAAGAAATAATTTGAGAAAAAGATTGGTAAAAATTAAAATTAAATGTTTAATTATTTGATAAAATAAAAATAAGTGAGAAATAGAAGGGATGAAAAAAAATGAAAAATAATAGACCAAACAACCAAAATTAAATAACTTCCTCAAAATAGGATTGAGACCAAATTAATTGGATATAGGCATGAAATGATGAAATCATTATAGTAAGATCTCGAAAAGCCTTGTGTCGGGTGTACGTCCTGAACCTAAGACAAAACAAAACTTGTCCTCCTCTTTTTGTACTTTCATTGCACAGAATAAACAAGTATAAATACCCGTTTGACATTTTTATTTTTATTTTTACTTTTCATGATTGATTAAAAAAGTATAAAATAAAATACACAAATAATAATATACAAATTCACAAATATTGAAAGAGTCTCTATGTATCATACCCCTTAAACAAGCAAGCCTGACTCGGTGTACATAATAAGAAAAGAACACTCACATTTATACCACTCATACTCCTTTTGAATATCTATAAATAATAATATAATAATAAATAAGATTATTATAATAATATATTTAGCTGTTAGAAAAATGTATACATAATAATAAACAATATTATTATAATAATATATTTAATTGTTAGAAATATATATATATATATATATATATATATATATATGAAAAATGATATTTTCACATCTTAAATCTATATAATTTCTATAAATAAATTTTTTTTAATATTATAATAATAATTTTACTTTATTTTTATTTTTATTAAATTATTTTATAAATTATTATATAAATATTTAATATTATAATAATAATTTTATTTTATTTTATTTTTATTAAATCATTTTATAGATTATTATATTAATAAGAATGAGTTGGTTGAAGGGTTATATGATTTTTAATTGTAAAAATATCACTACTTTTTGTATATATATATATATATATATATATATATATATATATATATATATATATATATATATATATATATCATTAGAAAACTAGTTTTTTTGCCAATTTTCTTGTAAAAAATTGTTTAAATTTATAGAAAACTTATTTTTTATAATTTTTATCAAAATTTTATAAAAATATTCCCATGAAAAATGAGAATTTTTAGAAGTGTATAATATATATTTTACTCGTAAACTTTCTCTGTTTGAAAAAACTAGAAAGAAGCAACAGTTTTCAAATAAACTCTCTACTTGGAAAAATGTTTAATGATTTTTAACACGTAATTTGTAGTAAAATATTTTATTTTCAAATTTCATTAACATAGAACTGGTAATCACTAAGCCGTGTTATGCTCACCGACGTTATGCAATGAGTCTGTTTCACGTGCAAAACCAAGACATAGAACACTTTCTGACCGTATAACTTCTTACGTAACGACGAGAAGGAGATGATATGTTTGGATAAGTTCCTTATGCTGTGTCTTAATAATCACATATTCCCGGGCACGTTATGCATGTGCACCATTGAAAGTAATCAAAGTATACGTATAAAGCAAAGACCCTGTGAAGTTTGAAGTTTGAAGGTAATAATAATGGAATGTTTGAGATGCCCCATTTCTGCATTTCTATTCCCAGTCTTCTTCTTTCTTACTTTGTTCATCTTTCCCTGGAAGGATCGCATTTATTTTACCCATTTTGCTTTTGCTCCTTCTGGTGTCCCTTCCACTATCAAAGATTCATCACCACCACCACCACCAATCCTCCCATTGAAAAGCTACAATAACATTACTGTTTTAAGTAGGACTAAGGTACACAAATGTCAGTATAAAGAAACAATGTTTTCCTTTCTTTAATTTTCTTTTATATATATCTAATTCGTATGCTTGTCTTGCCTACCCTTTTTGGTTTTGCTTTCTGAGGGAAGAAATTTCCAAGTTGGGAGAAAATAGAAGCAGGTTTAGCTCGAGCACGGGCCTCAATTCATGAAACTATCCGATCAAGAAACTATACTTCACCAAGAAGAGAGTTTTTCGTCCCCAAAGGATCCATTTACTGGAATCCACGTGCTTTCATCAGTTAAGCTTCCAAAGTTCTGAAACCCTTCAAAACTATGTGTACACAACACATATGTTATTCATTCAAATTCTAGTTTAATTTATCATTCTCGTTTTATAAATTCTTTTAGTTTCTTACGTGATAAAATTTTATAGTTAAATAATTGTAGTGTTTGACACCCTACTTAAGCAGGAGCCACGAAGAGATGTTAAAGAGATTCAAGGTGTGGGTGTACGAGGAGGGAGAACAGCCATTAGTGCACTATGGACCAGTAAACAGTATATACTCGATTGAAGGGCAATTTATGGATGAAATTGATAATAATTATAAATGGAGTCCTTTCAGGGCTAGACATCCTGAGGAGGCACACGTTTTTCTTCTTCCCTTCAGTGTAGCTTACATTGTTCGCTATGTTTTCGACCCTCTCATAAAGGATTCGGGAGCCAGAGCCATTCAGCGATTGCTGGAAGATTATGTCCGTGTTATTGCAGATAGGTATCCTTATTGGAATAGAAGTGAAGGTGCTGACCATTTTTTACTATCATGTCATGATTGGGTAAGATCTTATTAATGTATACTTCGCCTAATTTTTGGGGAAATATATATTTTGTATTTTGATTAGTACTTTTGTTTTAGCAAACCAGGTTCATCACTAACACAAGCTTTATTTGATGATTCAGGGTCCGAAGGTTTCATATCGCAATCCTAAACTGTTCAAAAATTTTATCAGGGCACTTTGCAATGCTAATACATCAGAAGGATTCAAACCTAGAAAAGATGTGTCTATCCCTGAAGTGAATTTGCCAAGAGGGAAGCTAGGCCCACCCAATCTAGGACAACATCCAAAAGACCGCACCATTTTAGCTTTCTTTGCTGGTAGAGAACATGGTGAGATTCGAAGGATCTTGTTGAATCAATGGAAAGACAAAGATAGTGATGTCCAGGTTCATGAATCTCTTCCAGAAGGGAAAAACTACACAAAATTAATGGGACAAAGCATGTTTTGCTTGTGCCCCAGTGGATATGAAGTTGCAAGTCCTAGAGTGGTGGAAGCAATTCATGCAGGTTGTGTGCCTGTGTTAATTGGTCGTAGTTACTCTCCACCCTTTACTGATGTGTTGAATTGGAGTAAATTTTCAATGGAGATTCCGGTGGAGAACATACCAGAAATCAAAACTATTTTACAAAGTGTTTCAAGGAAAAGGTATTTGAAATTACAAATGAATGTGAGGAGAGTTCGAAGGCATTTTATAATTAATCGACCAGCACAATCGTTCGATCTGATGCACATGATACTTCACTCGATCTGGCTGAGAAGGTTAAACCTTAATGTTATTGATTCAAGATAGCAAGTTATTCTTCTGTTTCTCCTACTTAGTTGCCTTTTGTGGTAAACACCAAATGTTAATTATATAAACTTGTAATATCTCGTGTAAATTATGTTTTTTACATATTGTGATCTTGTAATGTATTTTTTTTAATTTCTATAAAATATATTTTTAGAGAATAGAAAAAGAGAAAAATATATTTTTGTTTACATATGTAATACATATCCCTTTTCAATTGTGAAAATCTTTGTACCAAAACCTCAAACCAAGGCACAAAAATCAGATTAACATTTTGAAAATGTTGTGGTTTGTGGATATGATGAAACACAATGGTTTGAGTTGGAGTGAGGAACAATCTCTATTTTTATCATATTTATTATCTTTTTAAGTTAAAATGTAAATTAAAATGTTAAAATAAAAAGAAAATATAAATTATTTTTTCTTTAAGTTAGTAATATTCTATAATTTTTAACTCAAAAATATCATTTTCATTGAGATTTTAGGTAACTTTAGCGAAAAATGATTCCAATATAAATTAATTATTATAATAAATATCAAAATTTATATTTTGATTATTTGAATTTCATTGTCTTGATTAAAAGTATATATAAGTAAAATTTAATCATTCTTTTGTCTCCTTTGATATTTTTTATAATAAAAAGTTGGAGAAAAACAAGTTATTAATCCAAAAAAAAAACTAAAGGGTTTGTCCGAAAATGTCTTAATTTAAAAATCAGTAATTAAAATAATGTATGTAAATTAAAGAAATGTAATAAACCAAATGTAAAACATTTGCATGAATGTAAATTGTAAAAAGTAAGTTGCGGAATAATAAATTGTCTAAAAATAACTTGTAAAATTAAAAGTAGCATGAAAATAAATAATGGAAAACAATAACTCGCTACATAAATGTATAATATTTATGTTGTCATAGTTGAGGAAATGCTTTTATCTCTAGTTTTTTATTATTAGCCTTAACATATATACATAATATTTTAATTTTTATATTACGTCGATAATTATGATTATAATTTATAACGAGTAATGAGATATATAGTTTAAATATTCTTATAGTCGATAATGCCTTATATTTGTTTGTTTTTCTCATATATCGTTTTTTTACGACGAAACTCTTAATAAAGTGTTTTTAAAAAAATTATCAGTAGTATTTTGTATAGTCTCTTATTAGTCACCAGGTACACGCATAACTTAAAATTTTTTAAAACCAAAACTACAAAATGCATATATCCAAAAAGTAAACGTAATTATCACATCAAACGGAATCATAGGTTAACACTATTAATGTTGAAAACTGTTTTTTTTTTCTTTCCTTCCAATATAAACTTGAAACATTCAAAAAATCCATCATCAACATATGTTTTCTCCACTACCAACATATGTTTTTCCACTATCAAGATATTTCTACAATATGTATTATTATCTCAATATTGTACGAAATAAAATATTATACATAGTTGTGATTCCTACCCTTAATTAAGTGCTTCGTCATCCCGTTTTCACAAAACGTTTCATTAAACCTTGACCAACTTTTGTGAACCAAAACCACGAGAAATAAGTGTGTGTCGTCTCTACCATAATAGGTCAGCATTTTTCTTCAATATCATTCTCCTCATGCTAGAGAGAAGAAGAGTGAGATAGAAAAACAAGTGAAGAAGTAACCATCCATCACCAAATCCAGAAACTGACACAACAACCATTATGGCAACAATAAATTCATGGCTTCTATTCTCAGTAACGTTGTTCTTTTTTATCCTCCTCGCTTTCTTTGCACATAACCGTCACGACATACCTCTCCTTTTACCTGCCATAAACGTTTTACCATCCGAGGAACATCTCAAAACTCTCGACGCTGCAAAGGAACAACATAGTACTCTTCCATTCACGTCTTTGTTGCAGGATGCTAATGCTACCATTGTCAAAACAAAACTTCTTCATGCTAAAGTGTGTTTTTCTTCTTCTTTTTTTCTTGTTTTTTTTTTCTATTCATTTACTTGAAAATTTGTAATTATATTCTATTCATATGGTATCGATATATTTTTTTATCGACGTGTCTTTTTTGTTATTACTGATTTTGTTTTGAATATATGTAGAAGAAGAAGAGGAATTGGAATAACAGTTTAGTGAGAATTGAAGAAGACTTGGCTAAAGCAAGAGCAGCTATTCGTAGAGCGATACAGAGGAGAAACTTCACATCAGAAAAAGAAGAGATTTTTGTTCCCAGAGGAAGCATTTACAGAAACGCTTATGCTTTTCATCAGTAAGTAACTTTTACGTCTTGATTATATGTAGCGTTTTCCATTTGGATAGGTTTTGCTTCTCTCTCTTTTTTTTCCTTCTATTTTTTTTTTCTACTTTTATGCATGCCTTCTCACACACAATTACCTGCTAGAAACTGAGATTTGTATATTCTAGGTCTTTTTGAAGAATTAATTAATTATTTTTTGCGTTAAAGTAGGGAGAAAGGAGAAACTAGATGGAGTTAAATATACAAGAGACACGAGTTTTCTTTTTTATACTAAAATTTTACACAATTTGTCGATAGGTTAATTTTTGGTTACCATTTTTTTTAATATGGTGATCAAGAATAAATGTTTTCTTAACAATAAACGATAATGCATAAGATAAGCATTCTAGCTAGTAATTAACTTGCCGATAACCAAATGTAATTTATAGTTTAAATATATTATATTTTTGTTAATTTAATTATATATATTGAAAAAAAAGTTGATATATTATATCAAAATTATTGTAAGCAGTAATGTAATATTTACCCATAAACATTTTGTAAGATTATCAATAAATTAATTATTAGGTAAAGTTTATATATTTATTGGAGTAGAAATTAGAGTTACTTTAAGGCTTTGAGCACTTTTTTAGTTAATTTTCTTTTTAGAGAAAAATATGGCAAAAATATATAAAAGTTTAATTGTAAAATTCAAACACATACAGAAATTAAGATCCAAACAGATGTATTATTTGATTATTATATATGTCACTGCAAGTAGCTACATATTTGCAATAGAAATTTTATAATTTCCCCATCGTCTTATTTTATGAACTCGTTTTGTCTTTAATGCTTAAGATATCATTTATTAGCAATTAAGAGAAATAAATTATAAGAATTTTATTAGAAAATTAAGAAAGTAACCAAACTGTCTAGAGTTTTTCTTTCTTTCTTTTTTTGGTCTATTTACAGTGCTGAAATCGTTTAATTGAGTAATTAATAATCTACTGTTGGAAAACAAAAATAAAGAATTTCACTTCTGCAAGTAATTTAGTCTATAAAGAAAACAAAATGAAGAATTTAAACTCACATAAGAAAATTGGATTATAAAATTTAACTATAATTTCTCTAAGATAAACATGGACCTTTTTATTTTTTTCAGTAAAATTGACCTTTCCAAAAATTCAAAACGTTCACGTTAACTTTTTTATGATGAGTTGACGTCAAGTCTTTCCTCCTTCGGGCTTTTCGTGCACTCTGGTTTGGGTTTAGATTTCAAATCCTCTCCTTCAATTTCGTAATCCAATGTGTTCATAATTTCTACTTTTTCGTTGAATATTTCTCGGTTCAAATTGAATACGAAAGCCATATTTATGCAGAAGTCACATAGAGATGGTGAAGAGATTCAAAGTGTGGGCTTACAGAGAAGGTGAGACACCCTTGGTACATGTAGGGCCCATGAGTTCGATTTACGGCATCGAGGGGCACGTAATAGCTGAAATGGAGAACACAGCAGGCCCATTCGCGGCCCGCCATCCAGACGAGGCCCATGTGTTCATGCTACCCGTCAGTGTGACCCAAATCGTGCGGTACCTATACAACCCTCTCACCACCTACTCTCGAGATGAATTGATGCGAGTCACCATTGATTATACCAACATCATAGCCACCAGGTACCCATACTGGAACAGGACCACTGGAGCAGACCATTTCCTAGCCTCTTGTCATGACTGGGTGGGGATTTTTTTCTTAAAAAGCTATTCTAAAACATATGTTAATGATGTCAGACGCAAACTATACATGTAGTTAGATGTGCTTTGTTTGTTGCTGTAGGCACCAGATATTTCACGAGAGAAATCAGGCAGAGAGGTTTTCAAGAACTTGATAAGAGTGTTATGTAATGCGAATACGTCTGAAGGATTTAAGTCTGAGAAAGATGTGTCAATGCCTGAAATGAACTTACAAGGTTATAAGTTAAGCTCACCAGGTCCTGGTCATGATCCTAGTAATCGTTCTATACTTGCTTTCTTCGCTGGAGGGGCTCATGGTAGGATCAGAGAGATACTTCTAGAACATTGGAAAGACAAAGATGAAGAAGTTCAGGTGCATGAATATCTTCCTCAAGGCATTGACTATCACGGTCTGATGGGACAAAGCATGTTTTGCTTGTGCCCGAGTGGATATGAAGTGGCGAGTCCTCGAATTGTTGAGTCTATCAATGCAGGATGTGTTCCTGTGATTGTGTCAGATTACTATCAACTTCCATTTAGTGATGTTCTTGATTGGAGTAAATTTTCGCTGCATATTCCATCAAAAAGGATTAGTGAAATCAAGACAATACTAAAAAGTGTTTCCCATGCCAAGTACTTGAAATTGCAGAAAAGAGTGAAGAAAGTTCAAAGACATTTTGTGTTGAATCGACCTGCTAAGTCGTTTGATGTCTTTCATATGATTCTTCATTCAATATGGCTTAGACGACTCAACATCAAACTACCCAATTGATATTTTGTCATTCACCACGTTGTACAAATTAATGAAGTGTGTGTTGCGTAAACCATAAAGTAGATCGTTGTTGGAGTAAATTTGTCATGGACAAAACAACAACGACATTAGATATGTTGTTAATTTATAAAACTTGTATGATTTTGAAACAAACAATAATTTTAATTAAATTGGTTTGATTAAATATTATTTTAATATGAATTGATATGTTTAATTTAATTTGTATTTTTACGATAATTCTTGTAAATTTTTATGAAGAATATTTTTTTTTAAATTGGTTAATAGCCTAAAAATGTTTAAAGTGTATCAGAATGTAAACAAAAACTCTTACCAATAGTTTTTTTTTCTTTTTTCTAAAAAATGGTTAATAGATAAAATATAACAAAATGTAATAACTGGAGTAGAAGAAAATATTAACAAACAAATATTTTTATCGAAGTAATAGTAACGTTTTATTAGAAACTAAATTACATAAAGACTTGGAAAGAAAAATTAAGATAAAATAAATAAGTTGTCATGAACCACTAACTTATAATACAACTTAATAAACCTTTTATCTAAATTAGCAAAATGGAGGGACAAAAACCTATTATTAAAAATTTGGAACATGAAATAGTTTTTCTTTTTTTTTAATAATTTTTATTTTATTTTATTTTAGTAAACTTTAGAAATAAGTTTATTGTTTAGTTCGGGAGATAGTTAGTGACATATTTAAACATAAAAATAGTGAATATGTTAGTAGTGTTTGGTTTGCAATATACGATAATATAAATTTTGACCCTTTAAGTACATAAGCTTCTCTAAGAAGCCAAATTAAAACTTATTTTAGAAACTAAAGAAGCTTCTCTCCATGTGAAGAGACTTACACATTGTATAATAATTATAAAATGAAATACAAAATACAAAAATATTATTTTAAACAATTAATAAAACATTTATTTTTAGTAAAAACCTAAAGTATAATATAAAACTCAGACAGTAACAACTTTATAATATTAAAAAACAAATTAGTAGCATTTTTAAATTAAAAAAATATATGTTTTTTACGAAAATGATATCCTAGGAGTTTGAAACATCAATAACAGATTCTTAAAATATTATTTGATATTCATTTTCAAACTATATATATTTAAAAGATATTTTCATCACCTGAAATTATATATGATTTTCTTGGACTTTGTTCATAATTTTTATGAAATCAAATTCAGCCCATGAAAAAAGAAAGGCAGAAGGAGAATAGGAAGGAGGCGAAGAAAATGCAAAGACCTTTGATTGGATCCATTTTCCATCCGATACCCTAAACTAAACCCTCCATTAAACGCACCCTCCCTCTTCGCCCTTCACCCCTTACTCACTGATGTAGCTTTTCCAAAACTCAACCAAACAAACTCTTCACTTCACGCCACGCAGAGAAAAACAGAGTGTGTTTCGGTTTCATACACAACAAAACAAAACAAAACCATAACCCAAACTCCAAACACTTCCTACTCCCTTCACAATCAGAAGCACATCTTCAATCTAAGGTTGAGGAAGCCATGGCCGAGGATCGCGCGTCTGAACCACCCTCCTTTTCTTCACGCCCCTCTCTTCCCTCCGCCGACAACTCCGTTTGGGCCGATGTGTCCCCTCTCCTCCACGCCGCTTGCCAAGGTCACTTCTCACTCGATTTCACGACGTGCTTCTTCTTTCCCTAAAACTTCATCGCCTCTTACGTAACCACTCTGTAAATTAAATTGATTAAATTAAACACTAGTTTAAGGGATGCTTGTTCGTTTGTTTTTTTGCTTGATAAACTAAATTAACAATACCAATTGCTATAATATGACGATTTGGCGAAGTGTTTTTTGAAGTAACTTTCCTATTTCCATTGGCAGATCTTCAAGAGGGAGAGCTTATTCATGGAGACAACTTCAATCTTTTTGCCGCCATGTCCGCATTGGAGGTTTTCTTTTTATATGGTTTAAGCTGCATTTCGACGAAACAAAATCATATTTAATTTTCTTATGCATAATTACTTTTGATATAGAGTTACGGGATTACCTTGGTTATTTATTGCTGCATGATGAATGTCTGGAGGTGTGTTATGCCGAGGAGCTATGTTTTTTTTAATCTGTATTTTGTATCATTGACTTGTACGAATTGTTTATGTATTGAATTCTTTTCAGATAATGGACCCGAAGATGGATTCCGGTATTTCTTGTACATACTACTCTGTTGATGACGCCATTGAGAATGGCGTCGCTCCTGTTCCTCTTAGTGCTGATAAAACTGCTGATGTTCAATGCGTGATTGACATCATGGACCATCTACTAGCTTGTGAGGTATTTATACCATGTTGCCAGTTGCCACTGCTTTACATATGGTTGGTTGTATGGTAGAATCATAAATTTGTTTTTGTAGAATTATTTCCAAGGTGGCTGAAAATGTCCTCAAAAGTCATAATACATACAGAAACATCAACACATGCATGTTCATTTTTCATGAGGTTGACAAATGTACAATCTTGATAGGACGCCCTTTAGTCTATATTTATTTATGCACTGTAATTTATTCTCCAATTTAATGCTCTGTGTGCATCCAAATCTTTGTTTCTTAAACTTGCCTTTTCCCCCACTACAATTTATTCTGCAACATTGATCCACTACGCATAATTTTTAGTAAAATAGGAGATCAGAATTTTATGAACAGCCGTAACTTCTTTTGTGTTCAATAGATTTTCCTGTTCTACACAGTTCTACATAATGCATTTTCCTTCATTTTATGTTACTTGTCATTGAACATTGCAGGCAACATGGCACAAGGGTCATTCATTGGCGCAAACTGTCTATTCTTGCCTTTATCTCCTTCGACCTGAGAGGATATCGTCACATGCCCTGTTGCACTCTTTCTGTAAAGTCATTCGTGCAACCTGCAAAGCAATCCTTTCAGTTGTCTCTGAAGCTCGAACTCATGAAGTAAAGTATTCCAGCAGCTCTTATTTTTATCTCTATTATATATAGACATTTTTGTGTTGTCGTTATCTGTCTGAAATTCTTAATTTCTTCTGTTAGTCAAATTAATTATTTTGGAAGAATGCAATTATATATTATCGCGTTGCCATTCATTAAATTAATTTAGGATGAAAAGTATGGAATATAATGTTAGGACTTGCGATTCTCTATGTTCAATATTTATTTATTTGTGTGGATCTCACTTTATGGATTAAACTTTGTCATGATTATGTGTTACATGAACATACCCCATCATAATGTGTTACATATATCATATATGTACTTTATATAAGTTTCACATTTCTATGAACATATTACTATATTTATTGTCCTTCTATCTTGTGGTCATATTCTTGCAGAGCATTTTTTTTGTATAAAAAATTATCATATTTATTCATGTCAGGAAGAGGATCTATTTACCATGGCATATGGCCTTCCTTTGAGTGGAGATGGAGATGAAAAGTGTTTATCACTGCTAAATGCTGTTGAAGAAACAATATCTCGCCAATTGCGTTCTTGTAAGGCTTCATTGTCAAAAAGAAGGGTGTCAGAAGGTAGTTGCTTGTTCTTAGATATGTCTTGTTATTGGTGTGTTCAGAGGTTATGTTTCTAACTTTTCCTTGTAATGCCTTAGCATATCTTATGCTATGCCCCCTCTTATAGTATAATAATATATTTGGCTTATAGGCAATTATGATTTCCATTTATTGCTTATAATGCCCAAATGCTAGTACATATAAGCTTCATAATGCCAAACTCAAAATCATTTTTGCCTTTTCCCCCAATCAAGAAAAGGAGTGCAACATATACTTATGCCTTTTAATTTAGTTGTGAGCTATTTGGTTGCAGATATTGAGCCGCTTCAAAATAATCCTGATCTGGAAGAAGGCTACTGCAAAGCCCTGTTGTGTCGATTACGTTTTCGTAAGGTTTTATCCTATGTTTATTCTCCTATATAAGTTAAATAATGCAGAATTACACTTGTACATAATTTATTATTTATTAGATAGGCATAAGTTGTGTCATTTCATAAATAAACACACTTTTTGCTATATATTTAATCCATCCACACATGTTAATGATAAGATGATAAGCACTGCACCCTTTTTGTGAACATCCCTTGATTAGCATAGTTTTGGTTTGATAAAGGAAGTTGAGGATGTCCCTACTCATATGGCCCATCTGCTTACGCATCTGGCTTTAAAACTTGGGCACTCATCCCTGGAACTTTTTGTATTCCATACATATCATATCTTTATTCTGGTCACAATGGGTTCTTGGAGGTTCAAATGACCTCCAAACTACTAAAGCCATCTTGCAACTACCCTAATCCTAGTGGCTTTTTTTTATGGTACTTTTATTTGTTGTTTATCTAGATTATTTGTGCTTCCATCTTGTGATAATTCAGCTGTTATTTGATTTCAGTTTCAATTCTTTCTTATCAGCTAAGAACACTTTCTTTGACTGAAGTTTCATGACATGATTTTCCTTCAGCATTTTTACCATCTTTTGATGTCTATGAAACGACCCCAAGGAAGAGGTTTCGAGTTGGCTAGGAAACACATAGTGTCATGCATTTCAGAGATTGATCACATTCAAAAATCTTCAGAATTCCTCAAAGTTAATGCTAATAAAATGTCTGAGCCAAACTTAGACGATACAACTGCATCAGGTTGTCAACCAGTTGGCTTCGATGCTAGTTTAAACTGTAGATTATCTGCCCCAACACCACCAAGGTCAATCAAACTTCTTTGTTTGGAGAAGGTAAGTGTTTATAGGGTTGCTTCTAATACATGAAACTTAATTTAATTGTTATAATGTTTCCAGTTTACCTTTGCCAGGCCCTTGAATACTTCATGAAACTTCTGCAAGATCTAGATGTAATATGTTCCTACACATTGGCCCCATCGTTAGAATCTGCTTTACTCTTTGTGGTTAAATTCCAGAAATCTCAACCTGATTTGGTTGCTAGAGCCCATCTTCAGGTGAATCTTCAAACATTCCTTGATT